GAGCCTGGTGGGATTTGAACAGCCGAATTGCTGAACTGCAGTCAGCTGAAGTAGCCTGCAGTGCTGCATTTAACCACTGCGCCACCTCGGCTCTTATATCTGGCAGGTTTTAGAATGATGCTGATTTTAAAAGTTCTTCCTTGTTTACGTAATGTTTTCTTAGTACTAAAAAAACCTAGGTTTTAGAAATCCAGATATCTTAATCCATACAATTCTAGTTAATAAAGTAGTACAAAACAAACAATGCTGTGTGCTGAGACATACATAGAGGAGATCAGTTGCTAGCATATTGCCCAAATAAAACCTTCAGCGAGGCAAGACTTTTGCATGGGATCAACCATGCTAAAAACGCAGAATATCTCCTATCTGAATATGTACTGGATTACATCTCCTATTAATTCCCATCCCATGCACTCCCGCGTACCCTCATTCATTCCAGGGAAAGCAACAAGGAGCTCACAAGCTTGCAAAGCAGTTAGTCTGAGGGACTCTCACCCCTTCAGAGCCACTCAAGTTGTCTTTTGCAATCCAGTTAAAAGATCAAAAGATCAATTTCCAACCATGTTCTAACATCAAACAACTCTTTCATCATGCCCCCTCCCATCCTGGTGGTACTCACTGAAAATTGAGCGTGTTGGAATAGAGGTGTAATGCAGCTCGGTTACTGGAAGAGAGAAAGTGCAAGTTATGTAAATCAAGAGAAATGACAAATTTGGACTGATCCCAGTTTTTGGATTGAGACCATCATGAACCTGAAATCATCCACAGAAACTAAAGGCAAGGACATGCAAGACCCATACAATGGGTCCTATTCATTATTTCTTTTTACTGCTGTTATTAAAATTGGAAATTGCTGCTCATATGAGACAAAGGTGAAAATGCAGATGGTTTTAAAAGAGAACTAACATTTACACAGAATTGGTCCATTAATAGCTACTAGTCCTGAAGCTTACTATTTCCTCAATCACAGGAAACATACCTTAAACGTAAGCTGCTTAGAAGCTAACTGCTGCCTTCCTATCCCTGCTATTAAGCTTCCCAGCTTCACCTGCATACAGTGTGTAACCCAAAATGCTGGACTGGATGGGTCCTGGCATAATCCAGGAGAGTTTTACTTGTGTAATAGAGGCAAATTTTTCCACATGTCTATCCACCAATTCCCAACTCTTTTTCCTCTTTTACGGCCACACCTAAGGAGAACAGAGCTCTTTCAATGCGTATCAACCTTTTGGTGGCCGTTACATTTATATCCAACGTAGGTATCAAGAGCCACAATTAGAAATTCATTGTGAAGCCGATCAGAGCATGCCAAGAATAAGGACTGAATCCAAGTAATTCAAATTCTCACTGAAAATAGAAACTGCACTGAGTTGAAAACAACATAGTGGTAAAAGACAGCTGTCTCCTGAAGACCATGGATGAGAGAGAGAGCAGACAATGTTACTTACAAAGTTATGCACATTGGTTTGTCCAGACATGTCTCTCCATAAATACTGGATTTATGTAGATAGCCTTTTTCTCACATTATCCAATGCGACAATATGCAAATGAACAGAATATGTGGATTTTGTGCGAATCATTCATTCTACAATCTTCAGATGTTGGGAGAGGTGATGAAAAATGGAAGGCCTACCTTTCTTAACCAAGCTTACAATTATATGGTAACAATGGTAAGTTTAGGCTTGCCTTTTTAAAGGAGACTGCAAATAAATCTGACACGGGACGGGAAAACTCACCTTTTGCGAACATGCAGTGAGACATACTTAGCATTGAAGTTCTCAATCATGGCTCGGGAAGCCTGGTCCATCAGCTTTTGAGCCAGCCCTAAGCGACGATGGGAGCGCTTGACTGCCTATAAAAAGGGACAGCAATGAATCTTATTATTTAATTTTAAAAAAAGAGAGCCAATGAAAGATATTACATACTAATANGGGATGGGCAGGAAGTTACAGGCAGCTATTCTGTCTTTTAAAACATGTTTCTTTTCACATCCAGAGAAATATTCTGCCTTTTCAATATTTCCTAGCATATTTCATTTTTCTGGGAGAGGGCTGGGTGATAACTTCCTACAATAATATTTGGGAAAATAGCAGTGAAAAAGTGAGGCTATGCATTTGTGAGTGGTTAAATTCAGAAATGAATTTAGAGACGCACTCAATCGACCAAAGAAAGGGGTGTAATCTAAGTAAATGACAAATCTAAGACATTGCCGCTTTTTAAAAAGAATACGCTTGAAATTATGTCAAGAAGCTCCTTGGTGACTCTGGACAGACATTACCTTTCTCAGCCCAAACTGTCTCACAGGGTAGTGGGGGGTGGGGGAAATTGGAGGTGAAAGTAGTGTATACACACACCAGGTTGTGTTCTTGCATGAAGGATAAAAGTTGGAATAACTTCACAATTTGTATTCTCTAAAGGTCACAATCTTGAGCCTCAGATCCATTTGCAAAAAGGAAGTAATGAGTCTCTAGCCCAGCCTCCCCGAGTCTGGCATCTTGTCGATATATTTGCTTGAGCTGCGTTGGGTGCTGGTTTGCTTCTGGGTCCAATTCAAGTTTTTGTTATGAGCTTTGAAACCCTGTGGTTTCACTCTATTTCATTGGCCCATCTCAGCTGGTCAGACATCCTGTGGACCCTATCAATTAAACAATTTCAGCTGACAAGAGTCCAGGAAGAGAGACTTCTTTGTCATTGCCCCAATCATTTGGAATATTCTCCCTCGAGGGTTGAAACAGACCCCCACTCTCCTGCCTTTCCAGAAAAGACCCAGTTTACCAACTAGGTAGCTTAGGGCCCCCAGAGCTACATGCAAACATGGGGCTGGTTAATCCCTTGAAGACCACCACCATCCCGCCTTTTAATTCTGAATTTTAAATACTTTATTTGTGTTTTGGTACTGTCCATGGAGTTTTCATGGCAAAGATACTGGAGTGAGTTGCCATTTTCCTCTTTCTCCGTGGATCACATTTTGTCGGAGCTCTCTGCTATGACCTGTTCGCCTTGGGTGGCCCTGCACGGCGTAACCTATATCTTCATTGAGCTGTGCAAGGCAAATCTAGACAGCGTACTAAAAAGCAGAGACATCACCCTACCAACAAAAGTGTGTTTAGTCAAAGCTATGATTTTCCCAGTTGCAATGGATGGCTGTGAAAGTTGGACCATAAGAAAGGCTGAGTGTGCCAAACAGTTTGAGGCCTTTGAACGATGGTGCTGGAGAAGATTCCTGCAAGTCCCTTGAACTCAGTGGTGGGTTTCAAAATTTTTTCGTACCTATTCTGTGGGTGTGGCCTCCTTTGTGGGAGTGGCTTGCCAGCCATGTGACTTGGTGGGAGTGGCTTGCCGGCCATGTGTTTTCTTTTTCTTTCTTTCTTTCTNATCCAGTATTTAATTTTGGTCAGGAGCCAGATAACACATATGAGTTGCAGGCAAGTCCTAAATCATGGAGATTTACTGCTCCTAACAAGTTTCTACCACTCTGATCCTCACAGCTATCACCTCCTCCTGCGGGACTCATTTTAGGCTCCTACCCTGAGACCAGATTGTTGGCCACCACCAACGCAGAATCTGGGTAGGCCTAGCAAGCAGAAGAACCGACTTTAAAATGTTCAGTTAATATCCCACAAGAATCTGGAAGTGACCGACTGAAGTCCCCCTTCAGCAAGAAATGCGCAGCGGCCATTAGGAGGAACAAAAGAGCTCCCACGCTTTAATCTTCATTAACTAGGGAGGGGGGGAAGGATTAAACAATAAGCCTTCTCTACGTAGCCTTTACCTCAAAGAAAATTCACCTCCTGAACAACACCCCATCCCCAAACGCCTCCCCACCCCCACCCCTTTTGCCAGCCCCAGACTCGAACCCGCGCATTCCGGATATTCATAGTGACAGCAGCGACCCTTCCTCGGCTCACGCGCTAGCTACGATCATCAAGGTACGTTGCCCCGGGAAAAAAGACGTGAGTAGGTGGGGGGGGGGAAGAGAACGTGCTCATCTCCGCTACGCAGCCAATACCGGGTCAGAGACGGAAAGGCCACTAGCCAATCCCGACAAACATTCTGGTAATTGTACCACCCTCTTCTCCAATTAAGAAAAACCTGCCTGAGGAAGGTTTCTTCAGTATCCAATCAGAGCTTGCTTAGAACTGGTCATGCTGGCCAATGAGTACTCGGCTTACTCTTCTCTCCCTCTACCCCCCCCCCTCGTGGAATAGTTTTTTAAATTCATATACGATTCCATTCGATTGGTTCTTCGCTCATGACCAGGTTAAGAAGGTCTTGCACTATCCCCGCCCCTTTGGACTCAAGAAAACAAATGAGGGGCGGGGGGGGAGACAGATTCATTCCTCTTAAAAGTGCTTTCATTGATTATCAGTTCAACCAACCATTGGCAGCCAGAAATTGAATGATATATTGATGAAAGAAATGTCCTTCTGGGTTCGGCTCCAAGTGGGGGAAAAGANCCATCCGGTCACATGGGTGGCAAGCCACTCCCACAAAGGAGGCCACACCCACAGAGTAGGTTCGAACAATTTTTGAAACCCACCACTGATACAAAGGGAAACACAGCAAACAAACTAAATGAATATAATTAAAACTAAAGTGAAATTGAACATTACAAGAGGTTGGTTATTTTTCACCAGGCAGACAATCCTCATGGCCTCTTCATTTTCAGGGAGGTTTTCTATCAGGGGTGGAAGCTTAGGTTCAAAATCCTTCCGGGCCACAGTATCATGAGCTAATAATAAGGCCTGTGAGAAAGAATAAACACATGGATGGGGTAAATAATGTCCATTTAGCTCCCCACCAATGAGGATTTTTAAAAATCTAGCATACAAACCTTGCAAAGTTCAAATATGATTAGAGTCTGCTTGAATTGGAATATGAAGCCAAATTTCCCAGCTTTAATGTATTATTTCCTTTTTCAAATGTCAATACAATGGATTTGTGTTGGGAAGAAAAAAACATTCCTTGTGCTGAAAGATTTTGGTAGCCTCAAAAGAGACCCTCACATTTTATAACAGGGAATGATAGATCTTCGCAGCCACTTCTAAATCAACTTCTGCAACATAAGGAGCTTGAAAAAGCTTTTCTCAAAACATACTTAGGTCTCATTCAAACATTAAGTAGAAAGTACAGAACTGTATAATTTTAAAAGGCGGATGGAAAAAATATGGATTCTCCTTTCTAGAAAGCTTCTTACATAGAAAAATGTAGATTGGCAAGAAGAAGGCAAGCTGAACTGTTCTCCAAAACTTTCTGAATGATCTTTGAATATGCAGAATAGACATAAATGCAGCTGGAGGATAATACATACTGTTTAAAATGCTAGATGTTTCCCTTCTTGTACCTTAAATTATTCTAATCTATGATTTAACCTTTTTATAATTTACAAGGGAGACAGGATGTGTAAGTTAAAACAGAAAGACACACAAGTGTTGGAAGAGAACAGAGATTCTTTTGTCAAAACCAGAAGAAGCTGCTGAGCTAGCACTGATTCAGATGAGCTGATATTCCTACTTGGAATTCTTGCTTTAAAGCAATAGTATAGCAAGAGTATTGGCAGCTACTGTAACTTCCAGATACAAAACCTACAACTACACAATTTAGGGTGAGAAGATTTTGCCTCTCTATTGTAGGAAGTTATCACCCAGCCTTCTCCCAGAAAAATGAAATATCCTAGGAAATATCGAAAAGGCAGAATGTTTCTCTGGATGTGAAAAGAAAGAAACATGTTTTAAAAGACAGAATAGTTGCCTGTAGCTTCCTGCCCATCCCCGCTCGGTCAATGGGCCATTAAGACGGCCTAGCTAGTCCACTTTAAATAATAAAGACTTCAGCAGCAGCTACAGGAAATCATGA